CAGGATATTAGGGGAAAAGTAACACCCCTCTTCCTGGTAATGACATGTGCTCTCCTGCCTCCTCATCTGTATTGACAGATGACCCCTCCTTCAAGAGCCCCCCACTTCAGCTAATCATAGATGACCCCCTCCTCCAGTAAAGACAGATGACTTCATCTCCTGGTAATGACACATGTCCCCCCACCAGGTAATGACAGATCACTCTTCCCCCCACCAGGTAATGACAAATGACCCTCCCCCCCCCCCCCACCCCCCACCAGGTAATGACAGAAGCCCGCGGGATGAAGACTTGATTGTAGTGATGGACAGTGCACGCTGTGTACCCATTGGCTGGAGAGGCAGTGGGAGGCAGTGCTGCCTGCCCCCTGCTGCCTCTTCAACCAATTTGGTAGCTGAATTCCTCTCAAGCCCCTCCCCCTTGACGTCACTCAAGATTTCTCGAGTCCCAGCCAATTCTAATACAGTAGACAGTGGCAACTCTATGTACTGCCTCCCTGCCGCCTCACCACTCCTCCTCTCCCCTGCAGACTTTATGGGACCCAGTCCGACTATCCCCTTATCAGCAGCCCTGAAGGTTGGAGTGGGAGAGCTGAAGGCTTGCGGGGGTGCAACTGAAATCTGGGGGGGGGGCGCATCCCACCCCAGCACACCCCCTAGATCCGGCCATGATCTGACCAATATCTTTTTACCTTCCCAATGACAGCAGCACCAGCTCCTGGACAGTGCTCTCCTCCCTTGCTCAGCGTGGTGACAGCTTGGTGTCCATCCCTGCCTAGTTGTCAGCAGTAACACTTTTCTGTCCAGCAGGGCTGGCCCTCACCCCCCGTCACCTCTCCACTACTCTCCACCTCAGGACTTGATAATGGAGCCAAAATCTGAGGGCTCAGAGCTTGCGCTTTGCTCCGAATTCCGCTTTGCCCGTGATAGTGACAAGGAGACAGCATGGGCCCCCCTGGAGCATGAGCTGTGACTCCTGAGACCCCTGTTGCTACGCCCATGTTGATGCAGCTGGCCAGCTTAAACATGTATTGCAATGCATGTGAACCAAAAATCCCTGTTTTAATGCAAAGTTTGCAAGAAATGTATACAGAGGGTTGATGTACATGATTGGTTTTGTGTACAGTATGTGTAAAGATATTTGGATTTGAGCGCAGATGCATTTCTATTTCTGTTCTTCAGTTCAAAGTTAGTTTGATAGAAACCACCAAACTTATACCTGGGGGGCATCCTGATTATTTCCCTTGTCAAACACACATGATCAGCTCTCCTCCAATCACAGAGCAACTTTGTGAACTGCCAAACCACTATTTGCATGCAGTCACACACCGAGCATTTACTTGTGGATGTCCAAGCTGGACACAGCCTACTGCATCAAGGCTCTGACACCCCCAGATAAATGCACGGTCTGCGGCTATATGTGAATCACTGCAGCCACTGTCAGCTTGTCATTAGTTTGAGGCATACCGGCCACTGCTATTTGCTTGACCCAGCAGTGGTTCCACTGGCAAGAATCTGCCGCTGGAATCCGCAGAATGCAGATACGCTGCTGTGTAAAGGAGACCTTACATTTGACAAATCTGGCATTACTCCAAGTACAGGTTCTTTTTAACTGATCACATTAGAGGTATTGTATATAACAAAACTGCACTGCTATTGTAGGCGGGGCCCCCTGCACTTGTAGGTGGTGCCCAGGGTATCCAATCCAGGAGACAGCACACACACAATTCTTGATGTTGTAATTTATCTTTGTATACAGATTAACGGTAATGACTATACAGTAGATCGAGAGAATAGACATTTTTTCAACGGCCCTGATATAGGAAAATATAGTTGTTACAGTTGCAAGAAAAAAGTATGTGAACCCCTTGGGATTACGTGGAGTTTTGCATGAATTGGGCATAAAATGTGCTCTGAACGTCATCTAAGTCACAACAATAGAAGAACACAGTCTGCTGAACATAATACTACACAAACATTAGATGTTGCCATGGTGTAATTGCACATAACATGTAAACATTCACAGTGCAGGGAGGAAAAAGTATGTGAGGCCCTAGCTTAATGACTTCTCCCAGAGCTAATTGGAGCCAGGAGTGAGCCAACCTTGACTCCAATCAGTGTGATGATATTGGATGTGTTGCTGACAGCTGTCCTGCCCTTAAAAAAACACACACCTGTTTTGGGTTTACTGGTTTCAAGAAGCACTGTCTCATCAGGCTTGGCCCTGTATTACCAGAGGGCAGCTTCCACTGGACGGATGGTGGTTTGTGGTGTACCAGAATGGCACTATAATACAGCAGGGAAGCACCTCATATTACTGGTCCGAAAAGCGAGATGTTTCCTCAAGGCAGGCATTGTCCCTGAGCTGACCTTACACACCAGGAATGTTTCCCTGCACTATGCACTTTCTATCACCAGTGGGATCTCTGTCCCTGACCTACCACTTCCTCCAGGCACACCTGAATGGAGTGGGTACCCTGTTATATAAGGCCCCACACCTAGATGGCTGGGTGGATCTGGAGAGGTTGCAGCATCCAATCAGACAGCTGGCTACTCTGTGAAACTGATAGAGTCCCTAGGGCAGAGTTTCTCAACCAGGGTTCCATGGATCCCTGTGGTTCCTCCAGAGGTTGCTAGGGGTTCCTAGAGCAATGAGCAATTTCTACCTCCCAGAGAAGTTCCCACTGACACCAGTGGTCTTTTTAGCTATCTGCAAGGGGGCAATTCTTCTCAATGACCACAAGTGTAAGGCGCATTCTCCCAACTGACCACTGATCACGCTAATCTATCATAAGCTTTAGAATAAGTCATTTTTAGCAGGTGTTCCCTAAGATCAGAAAGTTATTCCCCTAACAGACTCAACTCCATCTGTAATAATGGCACAGGGACACCTATAGAAGAGAGGGGGACATGCACCTGTCTACACATGATTGTAAGCTCGAAAGAGCAGGGCCCTTGATCCCCTCATGTTTTGCATTGTATTGGTATTGTTCTGTCACATGTTCTGTCTCCCTTTGTAATGTACAGCGCTGAGCGAACTATTGGCGCTTTATAAATACTGTATAATAATAATAATAATAATACACAACTAATTACAGCCTCAGTTTAATCACTGAGGGTAATACCAACTCAGAAGTATCTTCCAATCCCAGTTCTAATAACAACAGGGATCAGAACCAAGGAGGTAGTTATCTACTGAGCCCACAGCACGGTAGTGTTCTGCTTTAGAGCATAAAGATGACTGGGGGCAATTTTCATTATTGTTTTAGACGGAACTTCTGTGTTTTGGTAACTAATTCTCTCCAGAATGTAAAGTGGAGCCAGTTTGCTTCAATGTAAAATTTTAGATGGATGTTCAGCATTGTGTACAGAAATGTAAATTTTTCAACAAGAGACACCCAAATCTGACCCTGGACATACCTTGTGTATGTGACTGGGGCGGATTATTTAGCCCCTTGTACCACTCGCTCTTCTGTGTGTGAAAGGTATTTTCAGTAGTAATTATAACATTAATTAAAAACTAATAATGGCCAAATAAAATGGAGACAGTCAAGATTCTGTTTCTCTGAATATTTTACATGTAATCATGTTGGTAAAAATAAAATAAAATGCAATATATGCTAACGTAAGCATTGCATAATGCTCTTTGGCAAAACATGGGGATAATAAAGATGTCTAAATAAAATATAAGGTTTTAATTGCAGACTGGAGGTGTCAAGGGAGTGCTAAAGAAAATAAAATTTGAAGGTTTAAAAGAGGTGTATTTTTAAGGTATCTCCATCAACCTATGAAAACAATGATATGGGAATCTGACTTACATCCTTATAGCAAGGTGAAAATAAACCATAAAATGAATGACCTCCGAAAAAAGAATATATCACACCAGCTGTCATTGTTCACTTACAGGTGAAACTCGAAAAATTAGAATATCGTGCAAAAGTTAATTTATTTCAGTAATGCAACTTAAAAGGTGAAACTAATATATGAGATAGACTCATTACATGCAAAGCAAGATAGTTCAAGCCGTGATTTGTCATAATTGTGATGATTATGGCTTACGGCTCATGAAAACCCTAAATCCACAATCTCAGAAAATTAGAATATTGTGAAAATGTGCAATATTCTAGGCTCAAAGTGTCCCACTCTAATCAGCTAATTAAGCCATAACACCTGCAAAGGGTTCCTGAGCCTTTAAATGGTCTCTCAGTCTGGTTCAGTAGGAATCACACTCATCGGAAAGACTGATGACCTGACAGTTGTGCAGAAAACAATCATTGACACCCTCCATAAGGTGAACTCTAGGCAAAAATTAAATGCAAATAGCCCACTGAACATCAGTTACCTCACTCATCAGCCTTGATTCTGAACACCTCTTTCTAAGCTATCCTGCAGTGTATCAGATCAAAGTCACAGCCTCCTCTATGAGCCAAGCTCAATTCCCACTCTGTGGTCCAGACATATTTCCCCGCTCATTACCTTCTTTGGCAGTGGTCTCCTCACCACCCCCGTGAGTCCTCTGAAGAGAAGATTCAGCCAATGGCAGTGTCGCCACCACCAATAGGAGGTGTGCACACCATGCAGGCAGTAATGTGGACATCCAAAGAAGGACATCATAAAATAAACAACAAAGAGAAGGATGGTCATGTGACTGTGGTTTCAGATAGATAAAGATAAATAAAATGGGCATTTGGGTAGTTTTTCTTGGTTTCTTGGTTTTTTAGAAGGGGGTGGGAGGGGAGTTGCTAGTATCAGTATTTAACCACTTGCCTATTGGACACTTTTAGCCTCTTCCTGCCCAGGCCAATTTTGCTATTGCACTTTGAATGACAATTGCGCGGTCATGCAACAATGTTGAATATTAAATTTGTATAATTGTTTTCACACAAACAGAGCTTTCTTTTGATGGTATTTAATCGCTACTGGGTTTTTTTTTTTTTTGCACTGAAAAATTTGAAAAAAAAGTTTTTTTTTCATTTCTATTATAAAATTTTGGTAAATTTTCTCCTTCACTGATGTGAGCTGATGAGGCTGCACTGATAGGCAGGACCGATGGGCACTGATGAGGTGGCACTGGTGGGCATTGATGAGGAGGCACTGATGATGCTGCAATGATGAACACTGATGGGCAGCACTGCTGGGCGCAACTGCTGGGTGGCACTAGTGGGCACTGGGTGGCACTGCTGGGCACTACTGATCAGGGCACTGATCATCAGTGCCCTGATCATCAGTGCAGATCTGCTCTGTGACATTTGCCAGTTATCGGCAGTACTTTCCTCACTCTGTGACAGTGTGAGGAAAGTGCTGCTGATAACCGGCAACTGTGTTTACTTTGTGATCTGATGTGTCATTGGACACAGCTGATCACATGGTAAAAGGCCGCTGTGAGTGGCCTTTTACCTAGTCATGTGATCAGCTGTGTCTTTAGGACATAGCGATCACTGACAGCGCCATGTGCGTGCCGCTTGGGGTGCAGGGGGTACATTCTGGGAGAACATCATACGACGCCCTCCCAGAACTGAAAGACCACACTGTAGCCATCTTTCAGCTATAGTGCGGTTGTAAAGTGGTTAAAATCAGTGTGTATATTGGCAAGAAGGTACCTCCTTTCCTTTTGAGCCTTCAATAAAAACACATCCATGTAACATACAGCCATATCCTTTTTTCAAAGTCATGGTTTCCTTGCATTGTCATTTCTATTTCCTGGTGTGGGGACCAGACACATTTGCCTGGTCCTTATCTGCACAGGGCCCAGTCCCTTCACCGCCCCCTCAGTGTTTGATGCAAATATGTCTGTGAACATTATTCTGAGACCCAAACAACCAGTGGACCTTGCTCTGCTCTCCAGCCGGGGTCACTTACTTCCAGACTAGAACTGAAGGACTGCTACTGTGGACAGCCCAGAGCTCTCATACTGACAGGTAATAATCAGCAAGTATGAAATTGATAGTTTTTACATATATCATGTGCTTCAAATAGTATTAAACCCAAATGCAAACATTTTATTATATTGTAGCTTACCAATTCTTAGATGACTGCCATTAGTATTCTCTTTTAGATTTTCTTTTGTCTATTTTCATCTGGTGATCCAGCCAGTAAGTCTGCTGTTTTCTAAAGAACAAGTTCTTTTCCAGATGAATCAATTTACAGGGATGGGACTACAGTAACCATTTAACACTGACAGGGGTGCTTACAATGATTAGGTTTTATTTTATAAAACCTTTTTATTTATTGGGTGCCTCTGCTAACCACACATTGCTTCCATTGTGGGGCCTCGTCACTTCTACTATTTCATAGCAATTCTGCTAAATGTAGTCTGAACATCTAAACTTCAAAAGTCTCTGGTCATAACTGGGTCGCTACAATTTAACCCACCAATGAGCTTCCCTTATTTCCTCCCTTTTGGTCTGTTAATTATACTGTATCATTTAAAGCGTTTTGCTAAATCTGTTTGATAAGTGCAAAAATTATAGATTGATCCTGCCAATAATGCAGTGTTGCAGGCCTTTGCATGCTGCAGTGTGCAGTGTTATCAACCATTGAAGTTTTAGACTGGGTAAGGCTCACTTAAAAAAAAGACAGCATTGTTTTACTATGTGCCATGTACAGTGCTGTTAAAAAATGTTTGCCCCTTAATTATTTATGTACCACCCTTGCTGTAATGTCAGCTGTTAAAACCAACACAAGATGGCAGAGTCCTACAAATTCAGTGGCACTTACATTCTGCAGAGCAGCCCCATGGACCTTGTATGCTGAACTGCAGGACTTTGCTGGGGAGCAGTGTACCAGAGGACTACTTTTCCCAGAAGAGCTGGCATGTGGGGGCGGGGGCAGATGTATACAGAAGCCCAGGAGACTAGACAAGAAGTGAGAGGTAAGAGAGCTGGAGAGAAGAATCCGAGAGAGTTGTGCTGACTGCCAGAGAACCGAACTAGGCCTCAGAATCCGAGAGAGGAAAAGTAAGGAGGAGCCGCAGACCGCTGGCCTTGCCACCTTGTTCAGCTAGACAGTCTGCCAGTAGGTGACCAGATGGAACACTGCAACTGAGGCTGGAGAACCTGTGGGAGCCCCACTTGAGAAAGTGCAGAGAAGGGCAACCAAACTGATAAGAGGCATGGAGGAGCTCAGCTATGAGGAAAGATTAGAGGAACTGAATTTATTCTCTCTTGAGAAGAGGAGATTAAGGGGGGATATGATCAACATGTATAAATACATCAGTGGTTCATATAGTGAACTCGGTGTAGAGTTATTGACTCTGAGGTCATCACAGAGGACAAGGGGACACTCTTTACATCTGGAGGAAAAGAGATTTAATTTCCAAATATGGAAAGGTTTCTTCACAGTAAAAGCTGTGAAAAATGTGGAATAGACTCCCTCAAGAGTTGGTTCTGGCCAGCTCAGTGAATTGCTTTAAGAAAAACCTGGATTATTTCCTCTATACACATAATATAACTGGATACTAACATTTATAGGTAAAGTTGATCAAGGGAATATCTGATTGCCTCAGGAAGTAATGTTTTTCCCTGCAGGAGAAAATTGGATCATGCTTTGCTGGGTTTTTTGCCTTCCTCTGGATCAACTGTGGATATAGGATTATAACTTTTTTATTTTTATGGTTGAACTGGATGGACTTTTGTCTTTTTTCAGGCATACTAACTATGTAACTATGTAGCTTCCATCCGCCAAGAGAGAGACAGCCAGGACCTGCTGGAAGCCACCGGTCGGGTGAGAGAGTCCCATACACCAGTTAAGCAAGATAACATTGACATTCTCCTCATATCTGCTACTTTACTTCCACACAGTCGTGGGCATTGCATTCAGTTAACACGTGTTGCGGCCTAGTTCCCACAGCCACTACTGTTGAACACATTTGCAGCACAGTCCAGTCAGCAGGTCAGATCACATCAGTGCTCCACTAACCATATTGGCCTACCCTCCTAAAGGAACTTCTACCACCATTGCCATTGGTTACCGCAGAGGGGAGTTGCCCTTTTACCAACAAGCTCATTTGCCAGTTTGACACTTTATTTGCCTAAAGCTGCCCTTTCCCCAGCACATTAACTAGTTGCCGACCGCAGATAGCCGCATGACGGCTGCACTGCGGCCGGCCAGTTCTGAGTGGACGTCATATGACGTCCCCCCAGAACGCGCTCTCCTGTGCGCCCCAGGGGGCGCACACCCGGCGATCTCTGTGATCGCTATGTCCTACGGACACAGCTGATCACGTGATGTTGTAAAAGGCCAATCACAGCGGCCTTTTACCACGTGATCAGCGGTGTCCAATGACACGCTGATCAGAGGGAAATGCAAGTGCCGGTTCTCGGCTGCACTTTCCTCATGCTGTCAGATCGTGAGGAAAGTACTGCCGAGAACCGGCAGTTGTCAGAGCGGGGATCGGCACCGATCATCAGGGCACTGATGATCAGTGCCCTGATGATCATGCCCAGCAGTGCCACCCGCAAGTTCCGCCCACCTGTGCCCAGCAGTGCGCCCACTACCTCCACCCACCTGTGCCCAGCAGATCACCCACCTGTGCCCAGCAGTGCACCCACCTGTGCCCAGAAGTGCCACCTACCTGTGCCCAGCAGTGCCACCCACCTGTGCCCACCAGTGCCACCCACCTGTGCCCACCCACCAGTGCTGCCCACCAGTGCCACCCACCAGTGCAGCCCAGCAGTGATGCCAGTCAGTGCCGTCTATCAGTACCCATCATCAGTGTCACCTATCAGTGCCGCATATTAGTGCCGCCTATCCGTGACACCTCATTAGTGCTGTCTATCAGTGCCGTCTATCCATGCCACCTCATTAGTACTGCCTATCAGTGCCCTTTAGTGCAGCCTATCAGTGCCCATCAGTGCTGCCTCATCAACGCACATCAGTGAAGGAGAAAAATTACCTGTTTGAAAAATGTTATAATAGAAACAAAGAAACTTTTTTTTTCAAATTTTTTGCACTTTTTTTATTTATAGCGCAAAAAGTAAAGTGCCCAGTGGCGATTAAATACCACCAAAAGAAAGCTCTATTTGTGAGAAAAAAATGATCAAAATTTCATATGGGTACAATGTTGCATGACCGCGCAATTGTCAATCAAAGTGCGGCAGCGCTGAAAGCTGAAAATTGGCCTGGTAAATAAGGGGGTATAAGTGCCTGGTAGGCAAGTGGTTAAAGGAGACAACACCCAAGTCAAGTGTCACTTAAAGGGAAAGTCCTTGTCCTTTGTTCTACCTCCCCTTTTGTATTAATCCTGCCAGGAACTATCACCTACATCACTGTCTACGTGTACACCAACTGGGCCCCAGTGAGTGCACAGAAGAATCCTCACTGCATTTAAAGGGACACTGACTACCCTGGTCAAAGGGCCTTTTTCTTATTTCAGATTTAAGCTTTGCCATCAGATTCTGAGGACCCAAAGTGAGCTAGTCCCATTGATGTTAGTTATTTTGGCTTACTGGGGTTGACAACACCTCAGGCTGAAGGTATTGGGTTATCTTCTGAAAAGCAGGCCTGCTAACACTGATTGAGATTCTGCTGTATGTGTTGTTTCTTTGTTAGGGTTGCTAAGAGTAATCATTGCCATTCCAATTATCAATACCAGTTTGTACTGTTCAACCAAGCTTACACTGAAGTTTAATATAAACCTTATATTAGTTTACTCTGTGTGCGTAAGTCTACTTTCTGGTGATAATTTACTCAGGTCAAAGGAATCCTTTGGTGCCAGCAGGGGTTGGGCTTTCAGAGAGAGGTCCAGAACAACAGGGAGTCCGAAAATAACTCAGCGACTCCTAGGGGGGTAGTGCTACAATTATTATTGTATTATTTATTTATGTTTTTACATATTTGTCACACTTGAAAATGATTCAAATCATCAAACAAATTTTAATATTGCACAAAGAACCCAAGTAAATACAAAATTATTTAATTTATGTAGCACTACTCCCTTAAGAGTTGCTGAAGATTTTGGGTCCCCCTATAGTCCTGCACAACCAGGCAAAACGCATTTTCTCATTTCTCAGAGACCGTGAACAGTCCTTGAGCAACTTCCTGGCAACTATGTACAAGTCTTAACACAGCAAACTCTTATAGGAGAGCTTTCCAGCCTCTCCTGGTGTACCACCCCAGACCCCAGATAAATACTCTTCTTTACCCAGCTGTCTGGAGGAAATCCCTAGGCAAGGAGATCCAGTGCCTGCCACTTTAAGAGCTGGTCAGGTTTCCCACCAGAATCCCCCTTTCCGCTTAAAGTGATACTAAAGGCATAATTTAACAAAAAAAGAAAAACCCAAACATGTCATACTTACCTGCTCTGTGCAGTGGTTTTGCACAAAGCAGCCCCGATCCTCCCCTTCCTGGGTCCCCTGCCAGCGCTCCTGGCTCCTCCCTCCTTGCCCCCGAGCCGCACGGAGCCATGGCTCGGCCCCAACCTCTCTCTCACTGGCTGTGATTGACTGCAATTGGAGCCAATAGTTCCCACTGCTGTCTCATTGAGGAGAGTCCTGGGATAGCCAACACATTGCTGGATCGAGTGGGGGCTTAGGTCGCCCAGGGGGTGTAGGATTACTCACTCTTCCTCTCTCAGGTGGACCTCTCTCAGGGGACTCCTGAAGTTGAGTGGTTCTCCTGTCTAGCAACCCTGCCTGGAGGTAGGCCCCTTTCCACTGAGCCCCCACCCAGGCCTCTGTATCTCAGCCTCTTCTACATCTCCTGCTGCTGAGCAGGTTCGGTCATACTTAAGGGCTGTCCTGACCCCATGTCAAGCCTCATGCCTGGGGATTGGTCAGGATCCTGTAAGTATGCAGATCATCCCCTCTTCACCCCTGCCTACTGCTTCTAGAACCTTCTCCAAAATGCTACAGCAGGGGGAGGTATCAAGGAACTGATCTGCAGAGCCTCTCAGCCCTGACCCAAGTTTGACCCTGCTGATTATTCCCTGGCTGCTGCTATCTAGAGGGTGGTACATTTATTAAGGAAAAAAGCTGTCCAAACCTGCTTGGCTATGTGAAAAAGTAATTGCTTCCTAAACCCCTTGCAGAATAACCCAAGTGCGCTTGAGTTTGAGGTCATGAACTGATAGCAGGACATTCTCCTTCAGGAGAGTGCAGAATTCATGGTTCCATCAATTATGACAAGTCGTCCAGGTCCTGAAGCTGTAAAGCTGCCCCGGACCATCACACTACCAACACCAAGTTAGACTGTTGGTGTGATGTTCTTTTTATGAAATGCTGTGTTAGTTTTACACCAGATGTAACAGGATGCACACCTTCAAAAAAGATCAACTTTCGTCTCATCAGTCCGCAGAATATTTGCCCCAAAGTCTTGGGGATAATCAAGATGTTTTTGGCAAATATGAGATCAGCCTTTATTTTTGGTCAGCAGTAGCTTTTGCCCTGGAACTCTCTCCTGGATGCCATTTTTGCCATTTAGGGGCCATTTTTGCCATTTAGGGGCCCCCTAGAGGATGTCTTTTGATGATGAAACGTGTCGGGCGGAGCCTCCCTCTGATGTCATCATGCTGTCGGACATCTTGGAAACGGTCCATTTAAATGCTTTTAACTGTTCTACATCTAGCTTGTAAGTAGGATTTCATTTGCGCAAATAAAGACGTTTTTATATGAGAGGCATGTTTTTTCTTTCATGATCTCATTTGACACTGCATTTTGAGTCCACAGTCGAGTTGGAGGTTTAGAAGATCCATGTTCTGGGCATGACACTGAGACCCTGCTAGTGCTCTATATAACAATGGTGGTTGGGACCCCCTATAATTATGGGGTCTCCATTTCTGGTAAGCCTCCATTCGATTATTTGGTGGTGGTACACATTCTGGTGACCATTTGAAGGTTATTCACATTGCACCTACAGCATTGTTTTACAGTTTTATCACTGATTGTGGAATCTTTATCTTTATATGGACTTTAATATATGTCTATATAGACCATAAGTTATTGTTTTGTTGTTTTGACCCTATTTCACAGTTCTTTATCTATACCTGTGGTTATTATATTTTTGCACAGTATTTCATTTACTTTCCATTTTTGATTGCCTTTCACTTGTGATTAATGTATTTACACAGTTTCAATTGATTTTTATTTTTTATTCTCGATCGCCTTTCAGAGGTATGAGGGTCTTCATGGTTCAGTATCCATTCCAATTAAGTTTTATAAAGAGAGGATATCCTCTTTAATATTTGCGGTTCTGTGACACAAGGTGATTAGAGATTTGCACGGTTTGACCCTATATAAATTGCTTTGGAATTGATGTTCTTGAATTTCTTTAAATCATGGCATGATGTTGCTTTTTGAGATCTTTAGAGTGTGCTTCACTTTGTCAGCCAGCTTCTATTTAAGTGATTTCTTGATTCAGCAATACTAGCAGTACTCAGGCCTGGGTGTGGCAAGTGAAATTTAATGCAGCTTTTAAAAAAATGTGGTTAATCACAGTTCATTCATAATTTAGAGGGGGGGAAATATGCTTTTTCACATAGGGTCAGGCAGGTTTGGACAGCTTTTTTTCCCTTAATAAATAAAGTAATTATTTAAAAACTGCAGTTTGTATTTGCTTGGGTTATCTTTAATATTAGAATTTGTTTTATCTGCATCATTTAAGTGTGACAAATATGCAACAAAATAAAAAAATCAGGAAGGAGACAAATACTTTTTCACAGCACTGTATGTTACCATGTAACCATGAATGTTCTTAGCTTAAAGTGTATATATTGTACAGCCAAGACCAGTTTTGGATAGAATAGGGAAGGGTAGAACCACTGTCAGTTTACTGTTTGCCGTGTCTTGTTTGGGAGATTGTCCTTCGCTTCCTGTCGCAGAGACACAACAAGTAGCGAGGGATCTCTACAAAGAGAGAAAAGTCCACTCTTAGATAATTGTCAGGTATCCCTCAGTGGAAGATTTTCTCTCTATGGCTATTCTGGTGACACCTGTGTAGTGGATTGTGATAGACAGTCCACGTTTTATTAGATGATCAGTAAAATGACAATTTTATAGTCTTTCTGCTTCTTGCTCTTTAAAATTCCTTACGCTCTTAAGTAAACAATCAGATATAGGTTGACAGAACAATGATGATAATTAAGATGGCGCCTTCATCCAGAGTCTCACCCTAGGTGATTCATTAGGAGAAAAGTATCTTTTAATGTAAAAACCCCCATAAAAGGGAATGAGTCTTTTTGGGGAAAATGATTGGAAGATATCAACACGGATGGAAGAACACGCAGAAACCCAGTGGACTTTTCACCCAATCAATGTATATGCTTTGCCTGCATCATAAGCCCTATAAATGATACTGTTAGTTCCTCAATAAAACAGAATTTTAGGAAGTTGACAAACTGCAACAGTGTCAGTGTCTTTCTTCCACGTGCACGTAATTCTATATTA